GTTAAGAGTTTATAATTTACAGTTTACGGTTTAAGTTTAAACAATTTATCGAATTTGAAAGGTATTAAAAACATTAAAAAGTAGTAAGAATGGAAAGAACCGAAAAGATACTAATTTAGGATTCAAATTATTTAGTCAAATATTTAGTCAAAATCCACCTAGAGAGATGAAAGAAATGAAGATCTTAAAGTCACCATGTTCTCTCATTGTTTCGTTTACCCTTATTTGCTTGCTTATATATTGATATTCTAATTCAACTATCAAAGGGATTTTAACATATAAGAAGCAAAGGATCTTAACTTACAATATGTATAACACATCTTTTCTTTAATTATATTTTTTTCGTATGTTCATTTTATCACGTGTTTGATGATCTTATCACATATATAAATATATATATGGTAAATATTTATTAAATTAGTTAATGGCAACTCTAAGTCATACACAATACACAATGGAATAGGATTGTCAAACCTTTTTTAGGATTTGATTCGGGATCTAATAAATAAAGGTATATATTTGATATACTATGATTGTATAGATTTCATACTATACAATGTTCTCTCATTGTTTCATTTATCCTCGTGTGCTTGCTTGTATATTGATTTTCTAATCCAACTATCAAATAGCTTGTCAGACTCAAAAACGAAGGACCTCAATATATAAAAAGCAAGAGATCTTAACTTACAGTATGTATGAAAAATCTTTTCTTTAACTCTTTTTTTTTTTTCATATGTTCATTTGATTAAATTAAAACGTGTTTGATGATCTTATCACGTGTATGAATGTATATGGCAATTGAACAGTGGTCTTCACATATAAAATTTGTATCTCCTTTTCATTAACAGCTGAATTATGGGCGATATACAATGGCCTGAAGCTATTCTGGGATAGAGGCTTCAGGAGAATCTAGGTGGAGTTTGACTCTTTATTAGCTTTACAAAAAATTTCAAGTCAGATTATGGTATTTGATTGAGTGCAAGATTCATGATCTCAAGCTTGTTCTTGATTACTGGAGAAACTTCACAGAACTGTCTGCCAAAAATGCTAGCTCCAAGTGGTCACCCTCATCGTGGAGAGCTCCACAGAGATGCACTGGGTGATTTCTCCTCTCTGACGGGTATGGCCTGTCGAGATGTGTCCAATAAAAATGGTTCGGATCTTATCATATTTGTCAACATATATGCAAAAATGATTTGTCTGCTGCTTGATGCTGTCTTTTATAACTGCCCTTTCACTCGATGTGATTTCTAACTTCCATTTTCATCCAAAAATTTTCTTCAAGCACCTGCTTTGTGCCTCCAATGCTGAGCAACCCAGTGTTCAGAGGCCCTGAACAGCCATAACGCTAATTCTGATAATCCTTTGGTTAGCAAATACATCAACTCGGTTTTAATCGATTGTACCAATGCCTTGGTACTTCACACTTACAAACACAAGCTTATTTAGCAAATACATCAACGAGAACTAAGCGCCCAACCGTGAATCCGAAAGCATGGTTAAATTGTTGAAAACAATCCAAGAACCATCAATTATAGAATCTGCATAAACAACAGAACAACTGACTAACAGACTTCAAAAAACACTCAAATGGAAACGCTCCTACAGATTCCTGGATAAGGATTTATGCAATATGATATTTGGTGTCACTACTACAAATAATCAGGAACGAAATTAGGTAATAGATTTTTAGCTGTCAATGTTTCAACAGATTTTCGGAGTCCCTGTCATTCAAATTCTGACCAACCCACCTTGATATGAAGCAGCAAGCTCCAATATCTTTCTCCAACTGCTTACTCCGCGTTTGAAGCTGGAGAAGTCGACACTGCCATGCCTATAGAATAAGAAATTGCAGTCTCTTTTTCAACTCAATGTTGGAACGAGGAAAAAGAAAGAGGAAAACATAAATAAATACAAACTTTGACATACAACTGACACTGATTACCTTTCTATAGGTCCGGGAAATCATGGTAATGCATAAACTGCCTTCAAATCGATTAATGAATGAAAATCTTTCCTTCATATATGTGAAAAAAATTACAGGGCAAGTTGCAGGGCGCCTAATGCAACTTACAAGAGACAAAACGCCCCAAAAGCAACAATGAAGATTAGTAGACAATGACATGGCAAGATGTGGTTAATACGGAAGGACTCCATCTGGCATTTCCCAGTTATCTTCATCATCATCATCCCTCTTCTTTGAAGATACTTCCTGCTTGTTCGGTAGTGAGGATCTTGCTTGGGGACGCCTGATCATAGTGCAAGAGAGAAAGATAGCCATCACCAATCATTGTCAACAAAGATATAACCAACTAAAGAAAGACAGCAGATGTCTCATCACTATGACAGGGATGGCAATAAACTTGAAGGAACAGAATTTAGACCCTGGAACCTAGCAGGAAACGACATGTAGGACACTCACAAAGCAATATAAAAAAGATCGGATATTGACCCCTGAAGACTCAACAAGAACCAAAAAAGGGATAGACCTAATGGGAGAAGTAAATGTAGGAGAAACAAATAAAAACTATAAAAAATATGCTACGTACTCAATGAGATTCAAAGATGCATAGAGATGATGTGTCTATAATATGTATGTCGTTCTGAATATATGACTCCCTTAAACACTAATGTAGATGCTCAATTTTGGCACTTTCATACTACACAATGAAGTAGTCTCCTCAAACCATGCTTCAAAGACAATTATTTGGGATAGCTCAACTGTAAACAAAGCGCAAAGGAAAACTGCAGCAGCTAGTTCTTGAAACATAGCACCAGGAAATCAAACCCAGGAAAACTACAAAAGCTTCAATTTCTTATGACTAAAACACAAATATCCAACAAAAATCAACTTGTGATCAGCTTTTAAGTTCATGACAAAAAGTTAAAAATCAAAACTCCTTGCTTTATTTTTCTTGGCAACAATTTTCTCTTTCCCCCTTCCTCTCCTTCAAGCTGGATCACGGCAATCAAAATTGCTTAATTTCATATGAATTTTTCATCCCCTTTCTTCCTTTCCCCTCAAATTTTCTCAGGTCTCAACAACCAATTAAACCCAGAAAAACCAAAACTTTCCAAGCTAAAAGAAAAGCCAATATTACTACTGAATTAAACAAAACTCCAAAGAAAAGAATCTGAACATGAAACATGACATCCAAGTTTCAA